AACTGAAGAAGCTTCTCAGATAAGAAGTGGAAAGCTTTCAAAGGAAAAGAAATCCAAGAAAGCCCAGTTATAACGAAATTTCACAAACTGACTACCTACAACGCCACGACCGCGTTGCTAAGACCATTCACTGGAAATTGTGCCAAAAGTTTGGATTTGAGTACAGCAAAAAACCCTGGGAACATCAGGTTGAGAAGATTTTAGAGAATGAGAGAGTCAAGATCTTGTGGGGCTTCAGAATCCAGACTGACAGGCACTTGGCCCACAACACACCTGACATAGTAATAGTTGAAAAGAGAAAAGTTTGGTTCATTGACATTGCAGTACCTGGAGATGCACGAATCGAAGATAAACAGCAAGAAAAAAATCACAAACTGAAGTTGAGCGACTGTGGAAAAAGAAATCGTGTGTTGTCCCGAATGTAATTGGAGTCCTTGGAGCAACACCCAAAAGGCTCCCTCGCTATTTGGAAATTCTAAATTTATCAGACTTGAACATTCTGATTCTACAAAAAAAACCACCCTACTTGGAACAGCTGATATCCTCCGACATTACCTTAACGGTTCCTAGGTCCTTGGTTAGGATTCGAGCTCTTGAGCTACCAACCAGCCTCAAAGGCTGTCAATCTCACCAAAGATTAACCACTTAATAATACAGCATTAGATTTATTTAATAAATCAATCAAAATAAATAAAAATATATCTTTGTTTGAGTTTAAGGCAACCTGGCAGTGGGCATAGAGGGAGAAATCCCTTTGGGAAGCACAGCTCTGGCCCCCACTAGCCCCCCCTCCCCATCCTTTGTGGACTTCTTCTGCCCCCCCCAAATCCCGATCGGCCAGGGATGCCCGGCCCTCCTGATGCCCCCTCCCCCCCCCGTGGCTTCCTTTGCACAGACGCTGCTCGACCTGGGTGCCTCTACGGATTACAAGGACAGCCGGGGGCTGACCCCCCTGTACCACAGTGTCATGGTGGGGGGGGACCCCTACTGCTGCGAGCTCCTCCTGCACGACTACGCCAAGGTGGGCTGCATCGATGAGAACGGCTGGCAAGAGATCCACCAGGTGAGCCGTGCCAGCGCCGGGTGCCAGTGGGGGGCGCAGAAGCTTAGTGGGGGTGGGGGGGAAGCGAGTGGGCCCAGGTAGAAATGCCCCCAGCCCGTTTGCTGTGCGGCAGAGGGGCCTCTCTGAGAGGGAGGAGCCCAGGGCTGAATGCCCACCTGGCAGGAAAGGGGGGTGACTGGGAGACCTCCCTGCAGTCCGTGTGTGTGCGGGGGGGAGGGGAAGCTTTAAAACAATGTGGGCATTCACTTCTCCTGCCTCCGAATTCTACAGGTAGTCCTCTACTTACAACCGTTCGTTTAGTAACAAGGGCACTGAAGGAAGCGACCTATGACCATTTTTCACCCTTACGACCGTTGCCACATCCCTCTGGTCATGGGATCAAAACTCAGAGGCTTGGCAATTGACTCGTATTTATGACGGTTGCGATGTGGCGTGATCCCCTTTTGACCAGCAAAGTCACTAGGGAGGTCAGATTCACTTAACAACCGTCACTAACTTATCACGCGCAGTGATTCACTTAACAACGGTGGCAAGAAAGGTCATACAATGGGGAAAACTCACTTAACAGCCGTCTCGCTTAGCAGCAGACATTTCGGCCTCCGTTGTGGTCGTAAGTCCGGGGCCGCCTGTGTTCTGGAGTCCTTGGCCAGAGCTGCTCTTCAGCTGCCTCGTCAGGGAGATCAATTTAACCAATAAATAAAATGGGGAGTAATTCGGAATTGGGGGAAGGGCCCAGTGGGCTCTGGGAAGGCAGCCTGGCTGGCGCCAGAGGGGATGGTGGGCACCATGGGGTTTGGAATCCAGAGTGGGAGCTGCAGCGCAAGGGGGTGGCGGGCCTTGGAGGGGGCTGTGAGTGCGAGTGCCGCCTTCCTGTCTCCTGGGCAGGCCTGCCGCTACGGACACGTCCAGCACCTGGAACACCTCCTCTTCTATGGGGCGGACATGACTGCCCAGAACGCCTCGGGAAACACTGCCCTGCACATCTGCGCCCTCTACAACCAGGTGAGCCACCACCCCCCCCACACACCCATGCACACCCCAGCCCCTCCCCTTCCAGGGGCACTCAAGCATCACCAGGTGTCAAAGGAGCTGAGCAGGGGGGGTGGCTCAGCCTTATGGGCTTGTTGGTCCTTCTGAAGATTCTCACCTGGGCCTGGATGAGGGGTTTGTCTGGCAGGAATCCTGGCCTCCCACCCTGGAGTCCATCCTCCACTCCTTTCTCCTTTCCTTCTTTTCCTCCCCGAAAGTTAACACCAAGTTCCATTGATTACTTTTCAATCATGCTCCAAGGAAGGTGGACTTGGTGAAGGGAGGAGGGGGGGGTCAAATTCCCACCCCAGTGCTGCCCTTTTCTGCCTCCAGCCCCGGGGGGAGGGGGGGTCCTCTTGCAAGGGGTAACCGGAGGTAGCTCAGGGCTAGCCTGGGTTGGCTCCCTTGTCCGAAACCAGGAATTGGGACCACAAGGCCAATACCCTCCTCTGGGCTGAGGATGGAGGTGGGCTGGGGGAGAGGGCAGGAGAGCGGGGAGGGACCCTGCCCCGTCCTCCTGGGGTCACAGACTACGGGACTGGAGCTGCCCCGGGGCCCAAAACCTCCTTTTCCCCACAATGCACGGGGAAGGTTGCAGCCAAGAAGGGAGGGAAGCCCTGGGGGCCCCTCCAGTGCCTCCCTTGGCTGAACTAGGCCAGAGACGCCGTCTCTCTGCCCAGCCCGAAGGAGCTCAGACGCTGCCCCTCTTTTCCCCACCAGGAGAGCTGTGCCCGGGTTCTCCTCTTCCGGGGAGCCAGCAAGGATATCCGGAACTACAACAGCCAGACGGCCTTCCAGGTAGGAGCATTGGGGGGGGGGGCGCTCTGGAAGAGGGACCCTTTTATGTGCTTTTAAATTGTTTGTATTGTCTGTTTGTCTTTGTCTTCTTTTTGTAATTTCCCCTCCCTTGGCTTTGTTCAGCCGCCCTGAGTCCCTTCGGGGAATAGGGCGGCCTACAAATTGAATAAACTCCAAACTCCAAACATCCAAATCTCTGCTCCCTCCTCTGACACAGGAGAGAGAGAAGGGGGGGGGGGGTTGAGAGACTTCGGAGGGGTGCAGAGGGTCCCCATCCCTCTCCTACCCAGGAATGCAAGAGAAGGGAGAGGCAGGGGCTGCTCACACCCACCCCTTTGGGGGGGCAGCACACCCTGGGAGGCCAAAGAAGATCATGTATAGTTCAATCCCATCCCCTTGGCACCCCACTCCATAGTCCAATTATAATGCACCCAACTGTCAG